CGTGTACCGCGTCCGTCACGCCGTAACAATCCTGATATGTATATGTGCTGCTGTCTGATCTGAGACAGCCTCGTAGCATCGCCCTGCATCCCGTCGCTGGGTACGTACACGCGCGTCCGTCCCCCCGTAACAATCCTGGTATGTATATGTGCTGCTGTCTGATCTGAGACAGCCTCGTAGCATCGCCCTGCACCCCGTCGCAGGGTACGTACACGCGCGTCCGTCCCCCCGTAACAATCCTGGTATGTATATGTGCTGCTGTCTGACCTGAGACAGCCTCGCAGCATCGCCCTGCACCCCGTCGCAGGGTACGTACGCCCCCCAGGAAAGACCGTGGGGTCTGAAATCGTCCTTTTACTAAGCTATAGAAAATCCTGGTATATACCTATGTTACGGTCCTAAAACATCCTGGTATGTATATGTGCTACTGGTATATATATATATATATATGTATAAGAGTGCATTCAATTTCTTGGTGAGTCCTGGAAAGTTGAACGTCCGTTTGTCCACCCCTCCCTCCTGGAAACACATAGGGAAGTCGTGAGATTTTGAGTTGTCATTTTACTAAGCTATAGAAAATCCTGGTATATGGTCCTATGTTTCGCCCTTGTATATATACTATTTTATATATAAAAAATATATGTATATATATTGAAAAAATACAAGGATGTGGTCTTGGTTCGGATGGATGATGCTGTTCTTGTGTTTTGTTTCTGGCAGCTACCTGTTCTGGACGGCGGAGGAGGGTCAGCTGATCGAGCGCGCGCGGCTCGACGGCACAGAGCGCGCCACCATCGTCAACAGCACATACCAAGATGGCCGCTTCATCCGCGACCTTGCCATCGACTACGACGAGCAGGTCGGTGTTCGCGCGTTGCTCGCCGGGCTGTAGCGGTAGCGGTAGGAGCAGTAGTGGCAGTGGTAGCGGTAGGAATAGCGGCAGCATTAGAGGTAGCAGTAGTGGTAGCGGTTACAGTAGCGGTAGTAGTAGCGGTAGTGGTAGCAGTAGCAGTAGTGGTAGCAGTAGCAGTAGCGGTAGGAGTAGCGGCAGCATCAGAGGTAGCAGTAGTGGTAGCGGTTACAGTAGCGGTAGCAGTAGCGGTAGCAGTAGCGGTAGCAGTAGCGGTAGCAGTAGGAGTAGCGCGTAGCAGTAGCAGGGGGTGGGGAAGACAGAGAAGGGAGGGTCCCCGAGGCCGTAATGGCAAACTGCCCATAGTCATCGGCCGGTGATAGGAAGCGCAAACATGGCAAACTGCCCATAGTCATGGGCCGGTGATAGGAAGCGCAAACATGGCGAGTAAACCTGACGTTACGTCTTTTACGTTTTCTAAATAATTTAATAATTGTTAGTAATTATTAATTATATTGTAATAACATTGTATGATTGTAATATAATGATAATATATAATTATTGTAATTATAATATATGATTATTATAATCATAATTATCGTAAAGCAATTACTAACATGATAATAAAATTGCTAATTAAAAAGTAATATACGTGTAATAATTAACTGACTTCATTAATTAATTACATGCAGATGCTCTACTGGTGCGACATGCGGCGCAATACGGTCGAGAAGATTCGATTCGACGGCAGCGGTCACGTGATTATCATCGAGAGCGAGAACGGTGACCCTGTGACCTTGACCGTGTTCGCCGGATACCTGTACTGGGTCGACTGGTGAGTGTCCGGTGGTGACGTCACACTGTCACTGCGGTCGTGGAAATGTCAATGTAGTTGTCACACTGTCACCACAGACATCAAATTGTATCCCTGTCAACAGTCGATAAATTGTCAATATGAATGAGTCTAGTACTTTTCCTATAATTAGTGACCACAGTAGAGAGAGTAACAGCCTGTAATTAAGTGCGGTTGGACGATGTAGGGCAATAATTGGTGACAGTGATAGAGAGGATGATTTTTGTATTTGTTAGTATCTAAGTTATCTATGTTAGACAATGTAGTGCGATAATTAGTGACAGCGGTAGAGAGGCTGCTCTTGTGTCGTTGTTAGTAATTAAGTGCTGTCGGACGATGTAGCAGAGATGCCAACCACTACGATTTATCCGTACTTTATACGAATTTCTATTCCTTTTGCACGACTATGACCAGTTTGTATCAAACTACGAATTTCACTGTGATCGAATTTTTTGTTGTTGTTGTCAATTATTGTCATTTTTTGTCAATTTATTGTCATTTTTGACACTCAGAATGCAGGAAATTACATCTCAGAATCAAAAATTTTGGGGGGGGGGGGCATGCCGGAACCCCCTAGCAAACTCGGGTCACTACGTGACCCTCGAACTACCAATTTGATGGCCAGAAACTACAGATTGCTTCAAATTACAAATATGTGTTGGCATCTCTGATGTAGGGTCGTCGACGGTGGCTCCATACGACGCATCGACAAGAACAATGAGTCGGACATCGTGATACTGCGCAAGGACATGAGTACCACCGTCAAGGACATACAGGTGTTTGACAAGAGTTTGCAGACAGGTAATGACGTAAACAATGTACAGGTACACATGTATATATATATACTGTATATCACATATATGAGTGCGTGCGTGCGTGCGTATATGTGTGTGTGTGTGTGTGTGTGCGTGCGTGCGTGCGTGCGTGCGTGCGTGCGTGCGTGCGTGCGTGCGTGCGTGCGTGCGTGCGTGCGTGCTCGCACGCGTGTTCGTGTGCGTGTGCGCGCATGCGTGCGTGCGTGTGTGAGTGCACCTGTCTGTGAAAGACATACAGGTGTTCGACAAGAGTCTGCAGAGAGTGAGCATGTGACGAATGACAGGTAACGACATTAACATGTCTATACATTGTACAGGTAAACATGAACCTCGTCACATGTATGTTTTGATGGAGACCGAAGAATAATGAAATCTGTCATGAATGAATTCAGAATGAAATGCATAACCGAATTTACAATAAAATTTCCATAACGAAATGATAGCGTAATGGAAACGCATATTCGCGCCACCAGTCGTGTAATGGCGTCTGCTCTATATTGTATTATATTCTTATTACTTACTACTTATACTTGTAATATTGTGTACCTCATAACATATAAACATGCTTGGATGACTAACGACCGATTGATGTATGACCGAAAAAATGAAATCTGTCGTAAATCAATTTTCAATGAAATTTTAATAGTAAAATATTAGCACCCACGGAATTGTCCACCCGCGTAGTGATAACGTCTGCTCTTGTGTTTTTTTGCGTCGTCGTCGTAGGAACGAACGTGTGTGCGGCTAAGGCGGGCAACGGCGGATGTCAGGAGCTGTGTTTTCACGTGGGCAAGGAGACTCCTCACTGCGCATGCTCACACGGACGCATCGCCACCGACGGCAAGTCCTGCGAACGTACGTATCGTTGTTGTTGTTGTTTACTATTATTATTTATTGTTTGTTGATGCAGCGTACGATGCGTTCGTCATCTACTCTATAGCTCTAGCTTGTATTTAGTCAGTTTTGTCCTTTTTGTCAGTGTGCGATTACCATTATTCTGTATCGTCGTTGTTGTTTATCCTCGTTGTGGTTGTTTACTATTATTGTTTATTGTTGTGTGTTGCTGCAGCATGCGACGCATTCATCGTTTTCTTTACAGCTGGTAATTGTTTTGTTTTATTGATGTTGTTTATCGTCTCTGTCTTTATTGTTTACTATTGTTTGTTATTTGTTTGTTGTTATTGTTTATCATTATTGTTTCTCGTTGCAGCGTACAACACGTTTAACATCTACTCTACAGTCGTCATTTGTTTTGTTTATTGTTTGTTATCATTGTTGTTATTGTTTACTATCGTTGTTTATCATTGCAGCGTACGACGCGTTCATTGTTTACTCGGGTGGCGACCGCATCGAGAGCATCAACATCTTCGACGCAGCGAACAAGAACAGTCCGTGGGCTGCGATACGCAACGAGACGTACATGAAGAATGTTATCGCGGTCGCGTTCGACTTTGCCAACCGCCGCTTGTTTTACAGCGACATCACGCTCGGAAACATACAGAGCGTCGGGTTCGACGGCACCGATCGCACGATTATCGCGCCGAGTAAGATGTAGTTAATTAGTCCATCTTTATTACTAATATCATTAATTAAGATTAGTAAGATCTCCATAATTATCTTAATTACATCTTAATTAGTCCACCTTTAGTCGGAAACACCCTGAGCGCCAGGTTTGATGGAATCAGCTGCACGATCATTAAGCCGAGTATGATTAATTAACTAATATCGTTAATTTAATCAAGTAAGATTAGTAAAATCTCCTTAATTATAAGTACTCTATGTTTTTCTTCTAAGTTACTCTAAGTAAAAGTCCATCTTCGCCCCTTCTATTTTTGTCGCCAGCGAAAATCTTTCGCGTGCCCCTCCCTCATTCCCAGAATTGTCTTTGTCGATGGATGCAAAATAGTACGTTTGTGCGAAATTCCCCAGAAAATCCCCACAAGAAAATCTTTTTGCGTACTTGTACCAAACTCCCCCTTCCTCTTCCTTCTTTTCTTCGGGTATCGACTGACGCCGTTTGGTTTGTAGACCAGGGCCGTCCGGAGGGTCTTGCGTACGCAGACGAACACGTGGACCTCATAAAGAATCTTACAGAAAATCTATCGGCATACATATACATGTACCAAACTCACCCTTCCCTTCTTCCCATCTTTTCTTTGGGAAATGATTGATGTCTCACGCGGCGTTTGGTTTGCAGACCAGGGCCGTCCGGAGGGGCTGGCGTACGCTGACGAACACATGGACCTGTACTGGACGAGTTACAACACGCAAACGATCAGTCGTGTCAACCTGAAGCCGGGCCTGCGCGGCCGCGTGGAGCGCGTGCTCAAGCTGGACGAGAGTGACCGGCCGCGCTCGATCGCCATCGACACCTGTAACAGGTACGTACGTCACACACACACCTGTAACAGGTACGTACGTCACACACACACCTGTAACAGGTACGTACGTCACACACACACCTGTAACAGGTACGTATGTCGCGTGAACCTGAAGCCGGGCCTGCGCGGTCGCGTGGAGCGCGTGCTCAAGCATATTATATATATACTAGCGGGATACCCGGCGTTGCCCGGGGAAATCAGTGGCGTTGCTCAGTTGGTTGGCGCGACCGCTTAGTTGAAAGGAAAATACCCAAAGAAAATCGAACTATCTATCTATCAATGCATCCATCCATGGATCCATCCATCCATCGCATTCCATGCCATCCCATCGCATCCCATCGCACCGCATCCCATCCCATCCCATCCCATATCCCATCGCATCCCATCGCACCGCATCCCATCCCATCCCATCCCATATCCCATCCTATCCCATCGCATCCCATCGCACAGCATCCCATCCCATCCCATCCCATATCCCATCCCATTGCATGCCATGCCATGCCATGCCATGCCATATCATCCCATCCCATCGCACCGCATCCCATCCCATCCCATCCCATTCCATCCTATCCCATGCCATTTCATGCCATGCCATCCCATCCCATCCCATCCCATCGCATGCCATCCCATCCCATCCCAACAGTAAAAAATAATAAGAAATCAAAAGATAAAAGTCATTAAAATAAAAAAGTCAAAAATTATAAATAATAAAATGAAATTATATAGAAAATATAATAATATTTGATATGTAACCTACATAGGCTTCCGTGAAGTGTTCCCGTGAGTTTGCGCTATCATTATCATCTACCATAGTTTATTCTGGATTTTTACTAAACGTTTAAATGTTGTAAAAAAATGTGGTGAATACGGCAAAAGTACATACTAAACAGTACAAAAGTAAAGAAACATAGCATTTCCCGAGGTGGGATTCGAACCCAGAATCGATGGTTTAGGAGTCCAATGCTGTACCCATTCGGCTACTGGGCCGTTATTGTTCTACACCATGGATTGACACGTACGTGATGTATAATGTTAATCTGTACGCCATCTATTGATGAATAGAATTTTTATAAAGTTTTAAGTTTTTAACTTTTTTGAAATTTTGTTTCAGCCAGAACCACCTCCCCACCCAATATATACATATACATACATACATACATACATACATACATAGATAATATAATAGTACCTACTCGTCTGTCTTTCCCATAGCTACATGTACTGGACGAACTGGAACGACCAGAGCCCCAGCATCCAGCGATCGTTTCTCAGCGGCTACCACGTCGAGTCGATCGTGACGACGGATATCCGAATCCCGAACGCTCTCACCGTCGACCACCCAGCGAAGAAGCTGTACTGGGCGGACGCGCGGCTGGACAAGCTGGAGCGATGCAACATGGACGGCACGGGTCGCAAGGTGAGGCAGGGAGAGATACCTACTGTGTGCGTGCGTGCGCACATGTGTGTGTGTGTGTGTGTGCTTGTGTGAATTTGTACGTGCGTGCGTGTGTGTTAGGGGAAGGCTACGTGAGCTGTGAAAATTGGGAGCCTGTGTGCAGTCGGTGTGTGCAGCTGTGTGCAGCCGTGTGCAGCTGTGTGCAGCTGTGTGCAGTGCGGTTGGTGTGTAATTGACGTGTGTGAAGCCAGTGGCATTGATTGACCCACACTTCTACTATTTTGCCATTTTTAACCATGGATGGATGGATGGATGGTTGGATGGAAGATGGGAGGGGATGGACAGACGGACGTACAAATAGACAAATGAATGGATAAATAGATGAGCACACGACTAGATGAATATATAGATAAATAGATGGATAGATAGATCAATAGATGAGCCCACGACTAGATGAATATATAGATAAATAGATGGATAGATAGATCAATAGATGAGCCCACGACTAGATGAATATATAGATAAATAGATGGATAGATAGATCAATAGATGAGCACACGACTAGATGAATATATAGATAAATAGATGGATAGATAGATAAATTGATAGACGAACATACATAAATGTCTCCCTCTCGATCTCTCTCCGTCTAGGTGATCCTGACACTGCGCAGCACCAGCCACCCGTTCGGGCTGGCCGTGTATGGCGACATGCTGTACTTCACCGACTGGGGATCGCGCGCGGTCATGCAGGTGGAGAAGTACTACGGAGCCGGACTCGTCACGCTGCGAGACAAAATACCGCGCCAGCCAATGGGCCTCGTAGTGGTCGCCAACAACACCAACGACTGTGAGTGTGCAGGCGTGGAGTGTAGCTTACATTAAATATGCGTGTGCTTGCGTGTGTCCGTGCGTGCGTGTCTCTGCGTGTGTGTGTCTGTGCGTGCGTGTGTGATGCGTGCGTGCATGCCTGTGTGCATGCATATATATATCATTCATAGATGAAAATAGAATGAGGGGCCTATTATTTATTTTCCGTCTTTTCGTCGGACTTCACAACAGCAGAACTCATATACTTTACTTCTTTTTGTATATATATATATATATATAGAGAGAGAGAGAGAGAGAGAGAGAGAGAGAGAATTGTAATAATAATATAA